ACCGTGCCAAGTGACACCGCTGCTCTCACGGGTGCATCTCGCAGCGCACCAAGTAGCGAGCAATCTAGGAGCGCCGCCACAGAGGTGGTCAAACAGGGACCTGTTCAGAATACGACAGCTCCTACTGGCTCAGCCGCCGCACCCAATGCCACTCGTGCCAAACAGGGATCCACCAGCTCGCATACATCCATGCCGAGCAATCTGAACCCTGCCCCTTCAAGCCAAGCCAGCAACGCGCCCACTGCCAACGGCGCTCGAGAGCACATCCGGCGAGAGTCTGCTGTCAGCCTTTCACGAGGACCCGTCAACGGTCTGAGAGCAGGTGAGTCATTTGCTGCGCGTGCCTCGAGCCACAGTCGAGTGGCGTCATCCGGCCAAGCTTCCGGTGCCTTGGCATCGCGTACCACAGGATAAATTGCTGTCTCTACGAACGTCGCGAGCATCCAGAGCTGACCGCTATGCACATCCTCGCTTCATCACCCAGCTGCCGGAATCAACTTTGGTTCAGTCGCAGATCAGAACTCTGTTCTGTCTTCCTCCCCTGCTGCTCAACCTCCTTCGGGACAACACCTCAAAGGTAGTCAGCCGACGCAGTTTGGAAGTCTCGCCGCAGAAGTGGCAGACTCGAAGCCGCGCGAAAAGGTTATGGGTTTTAAGGCCGGTAGTGGCGGCAGCGCAGGCGACGCAAGCACCGCTACCTCCCCATCCATTGCTAACACCGCAACAACCACAGAGGAAGCTAGCGCTGTTGCAAAGGCCGCAGCCCCCAAGAAGACGTTGGACTTTAACAAGCTGTTTCAAGGCAATGGCTCCAATGCTTCGTCTTCAGCGGCAACCCCCGCGGTCAGCAACGGTAACACGGCTTCTGCATCGCCTGTGACATCCACCACGGCCGCCGCAGTCAGCTCTCCTCAGCAGCCACATCCGCCTGCTGGTGCTCCTGCTCCCGTTCCGAATGGCCCGAACAGGCCATCTGCTCTGCGTGCACCTGCCCAGGGCCCTCACGCAGGAGCGAGAAGCTTTGAGCCTCAACGATCTCCTTCGCATCCTCAGCACCAGCAGGCGCGCGGACCTTCGGGCGTAGCACCACCCGGCAGTCCCTTCCAGCCACAGCAGTATGCACAACCTGGAGGGCAGCAGCCGAGATCACCTCACTTGCCACAAGCGCAGGCGATGCATCATCCTATGCACGGCATGCAAAGCCCTCCCTGGGCTCAAGGACATGCGGGCCACCAGCAGTTTGGACAGGTAGGGCAGCAAATGTACTACCCTCAGATGTATCAAGGGCCTCATTACCACCCACAACAGCACCCGAACCAGCCACATCCCCAGCACTGGGCAGGTCCTGGCATGCCCTACGACATGCCGCGATCGCCTCGCAACGTACCAGCTTCGCCTATGGGCGGCGCTCCAAACGGCGTGCCAGGCACACCGGGTCTTGCATCTCCCGCTGCCAACAGAGCTGTCCCTGCTGCTACACCGACGGGTCCTCACCCTTCTCAACTCGGCATGGGCCCTGCACCAGGCGCTAGGCCGCAAGGTTACTCAGGACCAAGCGGAGGATACTCGCACTCCCCCTCGGCTTCATTCAATGGTGGCAACCCAATGAGCCCGTCTGCCAGGCAGTTTGAGCCATCAAAGAGGATAAGCAGCGCGATAGCCATCGTCAACCCAGAGACGCGAGCTGAAGTGGATGTGAAACCAGGTGCTTCTGGCACCTCTTCTGCTGCTCAGACTCCCACGTCAAGTGTGCCCCAGCCTTCCACGCCCACCACCTCTGTTGGATCACCGAGTGCTACACCGGCAGCAGCGCCTGCGAGCGCTCCTGCAAAGAGTAAGATCACGACGACTGCTGCTTTCCAAGCTCAGGTGCAGGCTGCGGCAGCGGAGGCTAAGCGCAAAAAGGCGGCAGAGGCTGCTGCTGCTGCTGAGGAGCTAGCGACAAGAGAGAAGGAGGCTGCGGCAGCTAAGAAGGCGGCCGAGGAGGAGGAAGCAGAGAAGCAACGCCTGGCTGCTGAGGAAGAGGCGCGGAACAAGCGCGAGGCTGAAGAGAAGGCCGAGGCTGCAGCCAAGGAGGCTGAAGAGAAGGCTGCTGCCGAGCGCAAAGAGCGCGAGGAGCGCGAGGCAGAAGCAAAAAAGGCTGAAGAGAAGGCTGCTGCCGACCGCAAAGAGCGCGAGGAGCACGAGGCCAAGGAAGCCAAAGCCGCCGTGGAGCGCGAGGCAAAGGCAGCTGCTGAAGCTCAAGCTGCGGCGAGCAAGGCAGCTGCCGAGGCTGCTCCTGGTGACAACTCGCAAAAGTCTCGCGAGGGGTCGCCGCGCCCGACGGCCATCGATCTCAGCAAAGCCAAGGGCAGTGATGAGGGCGAGAAGAAGCTCGTCCCTCCTCCCTTGTCTACGCGTCGCTCGGTCGCCGACATTGAACGCATTGCCAACGAAGCTTCTTCCATGCCTCCCACTCCTCTTGACGCGCCTCCTCGCACCCCGGCTGTGCCCAACACGCCCCGCACGCCTGGCACGCCCGGATTTGGCGGTTTGCCAGCCAAGCCAATGAGCGCGTACAACGTCAACACGCCAGTCAAGCTTGATGCCGAAGCGATGGAGAAGCGCAAGCGTCCAGGCGTTTCGCCACTCGATCTGAGCACGGCCACGAAAGCGGCCTCGGCAGATGCACCCATGTCGGCTGCTTTGCAGTCATTAGGCTCAGCTCGTTTCATCGAGGACATCAGCAAGGTCTCATACCCAGCCAAAATCAGCTCGCCCAAGCCTGAACTCAACGAATCGGCAGAGCCAGGCAAATTCCGGTACGACAGGGACTTTTTGCTTCAGTTCATGGGCGTCTTTAAAGAGAAGCCTCAGGACTTGCCTCCCCTCTCCGCTCTGGGCATGGACTCCTCACAAGCACAAGGCTCCAGAGCTCCAAGCGGACGCCGCACCTCTGGCATGGGCCCTCCTGCACCGCCTGGCCGTGCAGGCTCCGTCGGCCTGGGTCTTGGTGCTGGCTCAAACTTTGGTGGAAAGGGAGCAGCTGGCGGTATGGGCCAGTTCGCACACCCAAAGACCAGCGAAGAACGATTCGCAGCGTCTTCTGCTCGTGGTCAAATGGGAAACTTTGGTGGCCCCATGGGCTCTTTCAACGCTGGTGCGAGGTCACAGCCGCTTTCAAGACCTGCGAGCGGCAGCAATGCCATACCTTCTCGCGACATGATGGGCAGCGGCATGCCTGCAGGAGGCAGCAGGTCGAAATCAGGCCGAGGGCGCGCACCAAACCCCAACGCTGGTCGTGGTGGTGGGCCACAGGTAAACCCGCCTGAGAAGGGCGGACCGACGATCCCGATGGACCAGGTCGCGCCTTTGGCCATGTCAGAGAACAGATGGCAGGGTGGACGTGGTGCTGCTGCGCCCAAGGCCGACTCGCCTGAAATGGTCACGCGTAAAGTCAAGGCTTTGCTGAACAAGCTCACGCTCGAAAAGTTCGACAGTATTTCCTCTCAAATTCTCGAGTGGGCCAACAAGTCTACGGAAGAGACCGACGGTCGGACATTGAGGCAAGTCATTGCTCTCATCTTCGAAAAGGCCACCGATGAGGCTGCCTTTTCCGAGATGTATGCACGGTTGTGCCGCAAGCTAATGGAGGAGGTCAGCGCTGAAGTCAAGGATGAGAACTTGACGGGCTCGGACAGCAAGCCTGTTACGGGCGGTAACTTGTTCCGCAAGTACCTCATCAACCGCTGTCAAGAGGACTTTGAGCGAGGCTGGGCACAACGTGACGCTACGCTCGCAGCTGCCAAGGGCAAAGAGGCGGAGGACAAGGCGAAAAAGGCTAGCAATGAGGCAGCTGAAGCGGATGCCAAAGAGGCCGAAGAGCGAGGCGAAAAGGTCGCTGCGCCAAAAGAGGCTGAGCTGTTGTCGGAAGAGTACTATGCAGCAGCGAAAGCAAAGCGTCGTGGTCTGGGTCTCGTGCGCTTCATTGGTGAGCTTTACAAGCTGTCCATGCTTACAGAGCGCATCATGCATCTTTGCGTCAAGAAGCTGCTTCACAACACTACGGATCCCGAAGAGGAGGAGATCGAAAGTCTTTGCAAGCTTTTGACAACGGTGGGCAGTTTGCTGGACACGCCAAAGGCCGAGGCGCACATCGATATCTATTTCCAGCGCATGCGGGAGATGAAGGAGGCGCCGACGATCAACTCGAGAATGGCCTTTATGCTTCAAGACGTCATCGAGCTGCGGGTAGGTGGCTGGGTGCCAAGGCACGACAACTCTGCGCCCAAGACGATTGCCGAGATTCACGAGGATGCAGCAAAGCAAAAGGCACAGAGCGAGGCCGAAAATGCCGCGCGCGCTGCTCGCGGCGGACCTATCCAGCGCGGCGGCTCACGGCGAGGCCAAGCTCGCGGCGACTTTGGCGGACCAGGCGCGCAAGGTCCAGATGGTTGGAACACGGTTCCCGCAGCTCCTCGTCAGAGCAAGGCTGGAGATCTTACCGCGTTCGGTAAAGTCACACGTAGCGACTCGAATCGGCCGATCGGCATCGGACCGCAAAGCGTTTTTGCGCGCAAGAATCAAAAGTCTGAGGATGGCAGCAACCCGCCTTCGCGCACGAATTCTTCTGCCAACATGTTCAGCTTGCTGAACCAAACCGATGCGGCTGACCCGACTGCCGCGCAGCAGAACGCCGCCGCCGCCGCAGCCGGGGGCAACGAACCTCAACGGCCAAAACTCAACTTGGCACCTCGGACCAAGCCCATGCCCGGTGACGGCAAGGCAGACGATGCGGCTACAACCAAAGATGAAGCTCAGGCAGACGAAGCAGAACTCAGCGACGAGGAGGCCAAGCGCAAAATCAGCAACGACGTCAAGGAATTCATCGAGTTGCGCGATGTGTCCGAAGGCAAGATGGCACTGGAGGTGAGTAGTCTTTGCCTGGCTTTATATGCTCGCTTGCTCATGCCTCTTTTCCCCTTTTCAGAGTCTGCCGTCGAGCCGGAGAGGCGAATTTGTGGCAAAGATCGTGGAAGTCGTCCTGAACAAGAAGCAGGACGACGTGCGGGATGTTTGCAAGCTATTCACTGCCGCCACGGAGTCGGATCTCATCTCCGAAGAGGCGTTCGTCGAGGGACTCAAGGACCAGGTCGCCTTTCTCGATGATCTTGCTGTCGACATTCCTCAAGCGTACACGTTCGTTGCCATGCTTGTCAACGCCGCCGGCTTGCCGCAGGAGAGGATAGAGTCGCTCGCTGACACGATAGAGGGCGACGGTCTCAAGCCTCCGAAGCAAAAGGTGTGTGAAATCGAAAAAGGCAGCATGAGGTTGCGGCGATAGACTGACGCACCTTTGTGCTCCCCCTCCAGTTCCTCGAGAAGATCGAGTCCACCAAAAGTGGTTGATACGCGAGCAAAGACTTCGGTGAGTGATCCCCGTATCTTTCACTTCGCATCGTTGTGCTGACAGCCCAGCGCTCCTGCCCACGATGTGCAGCACATCCACAAGACTTTGCCAGTATGCTGTCGTCACCACCCACACGCCATGCACATGTTCGCGCAGTAGCTGCCAGAGCCCATACACGGCTTCAAGCTCGTCATTTGCGCCATCCTATGCCGTCACGCATCGCCCTTCCGTCTCTTCATACTACTATTTGGAATCACGACTTGCGCGTGAAGGTCTTTCCGTCTGCATGCGCTTCTCAATCGAATGCGTCTTTTCCTCGAGGTGTGCCACATTGCTCAATTACAAACATGAGATGCAGACGAGTTGAAGGCATGTACGGTACTTGATTCGCGTTTGCTTTCGCGAACGCTGGCCATCCCCCTCTCTGCCATTGTGGGAACGAAGCTGGTCGTGAGCGCGTGCGGACATTTGATTGCATTGCGCCCCTGACCAAGCTTGACGCCACCGCGTAAAAAGAGCTGGATATTCTTTGGATCGCGATGCCATCTCACCAACCATCAAGGGGTGACTTTCGTGCGCATCATCTTTAGTGCACCCGGCCCATGCTTCTCCGACGCACACCTCGCATGGTCAGTCTTGCGCAGTTAGAAATCGCGCCAATCGCGCATGTTTGTATATCGGTTGAGTAATGGCAGAGGGAGCGAGCGCTGTGTAGAGCGAACGTCGAGGGTATGGATACGAATACACAGGGGGCTAATGGCGACTGAGCAAGTGGCGCGAGACCGCGGGGCAATTGCAGTGTTGTGAAAGCGAGCGCTCAGCACA